CCCCCGGTCCCGCTGCTCAGGAGCCCCAGCGTGGCATCATCAGATCGGTGGCACCATCCTGGCAGTGGCAAAGCTCCAGAAACCAGTTTAACACCAGATGAGGGAGGCTCTGGCCAAGCAGCACCGGAGACACATGCTCCGGATGCTGCTTCACCCCCAATTCAAGTGTGGGACCCACTCTTGTGAGCATGGGAAGGGATTGACCATGGATGTGCCCCCCCCCAGCTCCCGATCCCATGCCAACAGAAGCGATGAAGAAGTCAGTGCTAAGCTGGGCATTGACAAAGACCAGAAGCAGCAAAGACAGAGATGATGACCATGCACAGCACCCAAGAGGAAGCAGCACCATTTACCAGGGCTCTTTTATCAGATTTGTGCCTCAGGATCCCCACCAGCCGCCCCAAGCTGCTTCCCAATAATCCCAGATTCATGTAAATAGCAACTTGGGTTCCTGGAGCCAGCCTGCCCCTGAACTGTGCAGGAATGATGGCAGTGCCGTGTCCAGGAGGAGACAGGATCTCTAAATGAGACCGATTATGAAATGATGTCACATATGCAGATGGGCGATGATTTCCTCTTGATGGCAAAATGGATTTTGCCAGGCTGGGTTCCTGCTCCGTTATCGTTGAGAGATAAAGAGGGGATTATTTGTGTAAGGCAGGACGATGACGGACGCAGGTCCCCAACGCAGCTTCCCCAGCACCAGGCATGAGCATGGAGCCGACCCTGTCCCTGTGCACGTTACTGGAGCCAGGCGATGCCGATGCCGGGGCTCTGCCCGCAGCTCCTCCCCGCTGGGCAGGGAACTCTCCTACGCCACTTGCAGCATCAAAACACGGGCAGCGGCTCTTCCCCAATGGGTTTCAAGTCTTGGCAGCGCCTCGGGGAGGGATGGAGGCAGCGCGGGGCAGGCGGACACGGTGACTCCCCAAGGTCACCCCGGCGGGGAGCGGAGCTGCGGGAGCCTCCGAGGCCTCGCTCCCACCACGGGCTCGCCGCAGGGAGGCCCCGCTCTCAGCAGCCCCACGGGCTCCGCCGCCGAAGCAGGGCAGGCTCTGGCCCCGGTGCTGTCACCGCGCTCCCGGCCTCCTGCCCAAAGGGGCAGCATCCCCCGGCTCAGCAGCCCCTGCCTGGCACCGCCACGTCTGCTCGGTCACCGCGGCACCGAGCTGCTCCTCAGCCCGGCTCTGCAGCAGAACCCGGTGCCCAGAGCCAAGGAGGAGGCTCCGAGGGGTACCCACAGCGGGTTCCCTATGGGGAGGCCTCCGGCTGCTCCTGTGGAGGATCAGCCCAGGAGCCGCACGTGAGGGTGGGAGCAGGAGGTGCTGGTCCTTGCTCTGAGCCTGCTTGGCCAATGGAGACCCCACCACCTGCACCGGGGACCCCTGCGCTGGTGGGGACCTGAACAGATCCCGGGGTCTGGCTCAGCAGCATCCCCACAGCGACACCCAGCAACCCCTCCTCGAGCCTCCCCAAGCTAGGCACCAAACCAGCAGCAGATCGACCCAGAGCGGAGCCCCTCATCCTCCCTCAGCCACTGCCTAAAGACCCTCCAGGCCCTTTGAGGTCACAGGGCCAGTGGCCCCCGGTAGCTGGTCACCAGCGATGCCAGCAGGGTCTTGGCCACCCATCCCGCAAGGTGCTGTGCCATAGGCCACAGCCGGCCGAGCCACGCATCCTTCCCAGCAGCTTTGGTGGGATTCGGGAAGCGTTTGCCCCTGCTGAGCTCCCCCAGGGCTCAGGGAAGGAGATGGAGCTGCAGAGTCCTCCTCCCCGGCTTTGCCATTCCTCAGCTGGAAACCTGGAGGACTCCGCTCGTCTTGGGAGCGAGCTCAAGCCCTCCCGAACTCCCTGAATCCTAAGGACAGGATCAGGCCTCCCTGGTTTGGGGTGTGTGTGTGTGGGGGGGGGAGCTTCCGCAAAGCCCTGCTTCGGCAGCAGGGACCGGGGCTGAGCCAAAGCCCGGTGGGGCTCTACAGGGTCCGTGCTGGGCCCGGGGGATGCCGAGGGGGTGCGCGGGAGGCACCCCCTGATCCAAGGAGAGGGCTCCGGGTATCCCGGTTCCCCCGGGGAGGGGGTGCCCTGCCGCCAGCCCCTCCCCGCACGCACCAGCATCCAGCGCTGCCGCCCAGCACAGCTCAAGGTGCCCTCGCCCGGAGCCGCCCCCTCCCCTAACCCCGTTCCCGTCCCGGTCGCACCTGAAGTCGCTGTAGGGGTGGATGATCCAGGCCCCCGCGGACTTAACGCGCTCCTGCTCCCGCTCCACCGCCTTCTGCGAGCCGAACATCCGCAGCGAGAACTTGTTGACGCCGGGCTGGAGCATGGCCCCGAACTGCCGCTGCATGAAGCTGGCCTGGCTCCCGCGGGCCTCCTCGCCCGCATCCTCGCCCGCTCCCTCCTCGGCAGCCTTGGCCCCGCCGATGGACCCGCTGCCGCCGCAGGAGAAGGAGACCTTGGGCTCCCGGGGCGGCTCCGGGCCGGGGCTCCGCGGCGCTTCCCCTCGCCGGCACTCGCCGTTCGGGGACCCCTTCCCTCCGCGGCCCCGCGCCCGCCCTCCCGCCGCTCCCCCGCCGCGCTTGGCCGCATCGGCCGCATCCTCCTCGGCCGCCGCCGCCGCCGCCTCCCCGCGGCCCGCCCGCATCCTTGCCGCTGCCGAGGCCACCGGCGGCCGAGTGGCGCCCGCCGCCGCGGCGGGGGCGGGCCGGGGCGGGCCGGAGGCGGGCGGCGGGGCCGGGCTGCGGAACGGGCGGCTCCGCAGCTCCCCCCGCCGGTGCGGTCCTCGCCGGTGGCACCGGCGGCAGAGGCAGCCCCGCTGGAAGCCCACCCGTGTCCGTGCGCCGGCCCCGGGGGAGGGCTCAGAGCGGCCCGGGCGCACCCCTGGGCTGAGGACGGAGCCCCAAGGACCCCATGGTTGCCCCCATCCCTCTCCCCTTGTCCTGAGCCTCCTGCACCGAGCCGGCCGCCGGGGGTGGGCACAGGGGACGGAGGCTCCGGGCTGGCACCGCAGCACAGGGCGGCTCTCACATACCCGGGTGCAGCAGCAGCGGGACGGACACCTCCGCCAGACACAGCGGGTGCGATGCTCGGTGTCAGCGGGACCAGCCCCACCTGGCCCCCGCCGAGGAACGAGCAATTCCCGCTACCGGCATCCCCGAGCACCGTCGAGCACACGGGGCCCCCGCTCGGCTTCACGGTGCCTCACGGAGAACGCGGCCGGTGGCACCATCTGCTGCCCACGGCGCGGAAGCGCAACCGGACCGTGCGTGAGTCCCGCTCCCGCACCAGCCCCGCTCCGTGCTCGGGATAGGGGGAGCAGCCGCGGGGCCTCCACCGAGCCCCACGGGAGAAGACACCCCAAAAGGGATGCTCCAGGCTCGCTCCGCACCAAGTCACCCCCTGCATGGGGAGAGCCCGTTCCTCCCAAGCCCACGGAGAAGCTCCCGATGACCCAGCACTGAACGGAGCCGGAGGCTGGAGCCCCCAAGAGCGAGGTGGCAGCTCAGGGCTCACGCCGAGGCATCAAGAGGCTGAGCAGGAGCCCCACATGCAGTAGGGACACCCGCGCTCTCCCATTGATGGAGATCTTGTTCACCCCATCCCTGGCAGTGCCGCAGGGGAGCAGCACGATGCTGCTGCCCCATCCCTCCCCAGGCTGGCTGTCCCCCTCCCTGCCAACCAAGAGGCACAAGCTGTGCTTTGTGCTGCAGCAGAGCCAGGGCAGGCAGGACCCATCATCCTCATCAAGGAAATGAAGCCCTGCATTGATTTCTCACCAGGATGGCACCCGCCAGCACGAGGCCGGCTCGGAAAGCTTTGCATAACCCACTTACACAGCACAGAGCCCGAGCTGCTGCAGCAGGAACAGGCAGGAGGGACCCAGCACCACGGCTGCTGCCACCTCACCACAGCCACGCTCCCAAATTACCCCTATCGCAGGCAGGGAGAGGCTTCAAGGCCATGGCCCAAGGGCATGCAGTGACTCCTCACCAGCCCACAGCCATCCCTGCTTCACGCCAAGGGCTGGAGCTCTAATAGCAAAGGGACCCCCCCTTTGCACATCCTCCATTCGCTCCACAGGCACCACACTGTGCACAAAGGCCTCAAACCTTTCCCCCAACAAAAAGAACTGCTTGGAGCACATCCTGCAAAGGCTCCTTAACCCCATGGCCACACGATGCTGAATGACCATGCAGCAGGGCAAAGGGACTGCCCCCAGCATCCCTCCAGGTGCCGCAGAGCAGCGCTCATCCCCTTGGCATTGGGCTGAAAGCCTCAAGCTGCACGTACAGGGTGATGAGAGCTGGCACCAAGCTGAGACAGGGCCCCGTGCTCCACGGCCAGGAATGAGCCAGGGGATCAGGCTCCAACCCCCAGGGAAGAGAGCAGAGGCCAGGCAGGGATGGAAAAAAAACCCAGAGAGAGGAATCGTCTTTATTTGTGTGTTAACAGAGGGAACAGTTCGCTGCTACCCAGCACTACAGGCATTAAGACTGCACGAAGCACTCAGCTGCTCACTCTCCTACCTCCCAAACCCCAACAGCTCAAGCACAAGAACACACGCGGTTAAACTGCCCCCAGCCCCGCTGCAGCAAGGGGAGAAGAGATCCAAACCCACTCCATATGTTCACAGCCACAGTACCCATCCATATCCAGCTCTATCGCTGCTTCAGGGTTGTTGAAGAGCATTTCAGGAAGCTCTGGAGATGCTGCTTGGAATCAGCACTTCCACATGAGGGAAAGGGGCAGCCTTGCTGCTGGTGATGCTCAGGTCAGCACCAGAGCAGCATAAGAGGAGCTGCACCTTCAGGTCTTACCCCAGCTCCAAAGCACAACAGTGGGGCCAGGAGGGCGTTACTGCTCTTCCAATAGGTGAGGAAATGATGCTCCCCCAACCCAACCCGTGGACCAATAGCAAGAAACCTAAACAGAGACAGGCAGAGACTACCAGAAACAAGGGATTTACATTTACAGGTAGAAAAACCCTCCCATAACTCTTTAAAAAAAAAAAGAAGAAAAAGTGTATTTTAGGTTCTACAACTGCAATCTCTTTAGGAAGTGAAGGATCTGCGCTGTGAGGATGCTCGGGGGTATCTCCTGCTGCTATTTTACCCCCCCTGCCCCGACAAGAGGATTAGAAGAAAACAAAAGTTATCCAGATGAGTTCTTCAGCTGCACATCACCTGCAGGGAGAGAAGGCAAAGCCAGTGAGAACACAGCGGGAGCAGTCAGGCTGTGCTAGGGGAGGGTGATGGAGCAGTGCAGGATGAAGGCTGTGGGCAGGAGTTATCCCACAGTCCTCACTTTCCCATCCTTTAGGAGCCCAACGCTGCCTTCTCCCTTTCCCCTTGGCACATGCAGATGGCTCCAGGGTTGCAGGTAGCTTACAGCCCAGCCCAGCCCCTCTCAGCTGCAATTCCCCTTGGGAATGGCACTCACCTGGCCCCTGCTCTCAGTTCGCGTTTCTCTGGCGGACGTTCTTGTCCTTGTGGTTTGTGGCATTGCTTTTCCTGGGAAGAGAAAAGGGGCAGGGAGGAGGAAGCCCCATTGATGGGCACAAGCTCCAGAGGCGCAGCAAAGAGCCAGCAGGACACTGGAGCATCCCCAGCAGAGACAGGGATGCCACTGTCCCACTCAGGCAGTGAGCGGAGCACTGGGGTCAGGTTTGGGCTCCACTAACACAAAACAAGCTGTGGCCAGGCTGGAGGGGATCCAGAAGGGCCACAAGGGTGACCCAAGGACTCAGCAGCATGTGAGGAAAGGCAGCTCAGGGGAGAGCTCATCCCCATGTTCCAGTGTTTGAAGACTCCCTTTTACAAGGAGTCAAATGGCAAGGACTCACGGATGTAATTCAGGTCCTAAAGATGGTCAAGAGGAGATGAGGGACCAGAAGAGAGTCAGTTTTGAGGCACAGGTGCCATCTCCAGTTCTGTGTGGTTTATACACAGACCCCATTCAATGAACCTAAGTGGGGGGGGAAGCCTCCCAAGCCAGCAGAGTTATCCCCACACCAGCCAGAGCACATTCCCTGGATGAGATCTGCCAGGACAGATCTGGCTGAACAGGAAAATCGGTACTTACAGTGGTGCAGAGCCTCCATCATCATCTTCACGTTCCACACAGCATGGAAGGAAGAAAGAAAGAACAAACATCAGGGAAGATGCAATCTCTGCCACCTCTTAAGCCCCTGGGGGCTGCATTCCAGGGAGGTCATGGGATTCATCTGATGCCACTGCCCCAACAGGGCTGAACCCAAAGGGCAGCTCACCCCCAGGGCAGAGCAGGGGGCTACTGCCCCCCAAGCTGCTTCTTGTCTCGGCTTAGGCAAGGCACAGACTTAGACATAAGCTGCTGTTATGCAGTGGCTTCTCTTGGCACAGGGCTGAGGTTGGGCTCGGGGGATAACGAAGTCCCCATCACCCCCCTGCTCCCGAGCACAGCTCAGGTCTGGTGCCTCATCAACCCCGAGGCATGAGGCAGACCTGAGCCTGCCCCAGGAGCCAAAGGGAAGCATCCAGAGAGGCTCGATGGCATCCATTTGGCATTGCCAGCCTGTGCATCCCCAGGCAGCTCTTCCCATCCTCAGTCCTTGCAAGTGGGAAATGAACAGATGCACTGGGAGAGGCTGCCACTGAGCTACCCACTGCTGCCCCTCAGATGGCTCCCAAAGCTCAGGCTTCAACAACAGCCAGAGGAGGGGATTCCACAGAGGGTGCTCCAGGAGTGAGGTTTTCAGCAGCGTTTGGGGGGGATCAGGAAGAACACACACCACAGCCCTGCTACACTGAGAACCACAGCTAAGAGAACACTTCTACCACGTGTTGAGCCCTTCACCAGCTCCTTGCAATGTGTCACCCCCCAACAGAAGGTTCCCCATCATCTCCTGCCCGGTCCTCAAACAGCACTGAAGCATCAGGACCGCCTTGGGCACCACGATCTGCAGGCAGCTGGTGAGAGGATGGAGGCAGAAACAGGGCTGGAACTAGCTCCTTCTTACCGTGCGAGGTGGCACCCAGCAGCAGAGAAGGGAAGAGTGGAAAGATAACACCAGGGAGGATATCATGCCGTACCCCAAGGGCTTCTCCCTACCCCAGGTAACAGGCAATTCACAACCACACACCCCCAGGAGTAGCCTTTGTCTGAGCTCTCCAAAGGGGCAAAGCTACAAAAGCCCTTTGAGGAAGAGCAGCACTTTACAGCAGGGAGGTGTAAAGCTGTGTGTGTGCTTGTCAAGGAGGTGTGATGCTGCATCCCCATTCACAAGTGCTTGAGAGCTCTGCCCAAGGACATTTCAATATACACACCCCCTGTCTTTGTGTCCAAGCATCTGCTACAGTGGGTCAGCACTGGACATGGTGTGGACCAGGCTGATGCCATCAGAAGCCGGACCACTCACCACACACAAGGCTATAGATGGGGAAGATGCAGCTACAACATCCTTAAGGCATCTGCTTCCCACCCAAGAGCTTCGGAGGGACAAAGCATCTGCTTGTAAAAACCACCTCGAGTGGAATTCCTCAACCCCTGTGGGCAGGGCAGGGCTATTTGGGAATTTCAGTCCCTCCCCTGCACCTCACAGTCCAGGTCTGTCCCCCCCGGCAGGCAGGAAGGATACCAACCCTTTACACCTCATTGTTAACTGGATCAGATAAGGCAGGAGCAGCTGGGCTCACACAATGCAGATCCTTACTGATAAGGAAAGGGAGGAGCCGGTATTTCCAGAACAGATTCAAGATAGCACCGGGCTCCTCCAGGCAGGATGTGTGGATCTAAAGGTCCAAACCTGAGCCCTGAGCTCAGCCTTCACTGCCACAGTCCCTGACTTCTGCAGCACCAGGAAAACCTCTCCTCCTCCTTCAGAAACCAGCTCCTCCAGCACAGGGACAACCCAGTCCTGCTCCAGCGCCTGCAGAACGCAGGGGCACCGAGAGACACAGGGTCAGGCTGACCCCCATGCAGACGGACCCAAAGCAGAGCTTGCTGCAGGCCTCTCCAACAGGGCCATTGGTTGCAACTTCACACCTCGAGTAGTCTGATGGAGACCACCCCTGTGGCACATTTCACCTGCACCCTCCAAGTTCCTTCATCTCCCCATAAAGATTTAACCCCCCCACCCACCACCACCCACCTCTTACCATCAAGAACCTCATCCGGCTTCCTCCTCTTCTCATAGATGAAGATGATGGTGACGAGAACAAGGACTTCTGCCACGATGCCCAGGAAGGGCCAGAGCGCTGCGAGGCGGCTGCGGACGCGCAGGCTCACCGTGGCGCTGCCCTGCCCGTAGGCATTGGTTGCATTGCAGTGGTAATCACCCGAGTCCTCCTCAATGTTCAGCTTCAGGATGCGTAACTCTGTCTTGTTGCCACTGGACTTGATGATGTAGCGCCCAGATCCATTGATGATGGGCTGGAGGGGAGGAAGACACAGCTCTCATGGCGGTGCTGATGCACAAGGGGAGATGCTCGCTCCCTGTGCGTGGCTCCTACCGCTGCCACGGCACTGAGCAGCCTGCTCTGAAGGAGCTGCTGCTGATGGGAGCGAGGTCCTCTGCCCCTTTGCTGGGCAGGAGGAGAATGGGAGAAGGAGCATCAAAGCACAGCACTTACATCTTGGCCATGCCTGTACCAGACCCACGAGGTGACAGGAGGGAACGAGCTGCACTTGCAGACCAGCACTCCCGTGTCCCCCTCGTTGCCGTGCTCGGACTTCTTGTACGCCGTCACTTGGGGTGGAACTATGGCAAGAGAAAGGGAAATCAGACACTTCCTTGAAGGAAACACCTGGGTTTGTATTCCCTGGGCACAAACAGGTCACCAGAAAGCTTGGGTTTGGTTAGGGGGTTTGGTCCCCTCACTTGCCCATAGAAACCCTGATAAAACCGAGCTGCTTCTGGTAGCATCCTTTATGAGGAAGGGCTAAAAGAAGCTTTATAAAGCGTGGAGGAGGTCACAGCTTCCCCACTCGGGCCCAGAAGCAACTGGAATTACCTGAGATATTCAGATGTCCTTTTATCACTGGGTTTGTTTTGTAGACGCACTCATAGACACCGGAGTGCTCTTCCATCTTCCCCTCGATCCTACCAAAAACCAGGAGAGCACATGAGCAAGTGCCACGAAGAGACCCCAAAGCCCAGCCCCACGCATACAGACACCAAACAGCACCAGCACTCTGCTCCATAGGCGATTTGTCCCATTGAGACCTCGCCATGAACCTCCAGCCTCCTCTCTTCACCAAGTCCAACACGGGTCTGTTAAATCAGTGACCACTGAGACCTCGTGGGCTTGTAGCCTGGTTCCTGCAGAGCAGCAGCTTTCTCTCCCTACCCCAACGCCACAGGGCCTCTACTTCCATGCTCTTCCCTCTTCCATACAGACCCCAGGCCGAGCAAAGCCAACAGGATCTGAATGCAGCCCAAGGGCTCCCATTACGCTGCACACCTCGTGGCAGGCATCACCCCAGCCTCTAAAGAGCCAGGCAAGGAGCTTTGGACCACAGATCCCACGGGAGGCTTTTCTTCCCATGGAGAAGGCCACTGAAACACATGGCAAAGTAGGGGGGGAGGAAAAAGCCACCCAGGCTGGGTTATTCCAGCCAGATCCCAGCTCAGCACTAAATCTCCTGTTTTCCTTCTGTAAAGCTGCTGCAATGAGCTTGAGTGGATTACGCTGCACCGCAACAACCACCTCATTCCACAGCCTGGGACCGGGCGCTCCAGGGAAGGGGCAGCGAAGTCGGAGCCCCAAAGCTGGCCTGGGACAAGGGGCTCTTTGTTCCTTGGGCCGTGCGTGACACTTCCCACTTCCCAAACCCACTGAGCTGAGGAATCGAGGTCACGCGAGGGAGGCTGGGTTATAAATACTTTAATCCTTGTTCAGCTCCCTGTTGCTATGGGGAGCCGGGCACGTCGGCACCGCCACACAAAGGGATGCGATGCCTCTCCAGCTGCTGGGTCAGAGCCAGCCAGGCCTCACTGTAATGGGAAGGGAAAGCTCGCTGCACTGCTACAATGAGCCTGGTATTCCCATTACATCCCCCCCAACCAAAGCAGCTCCTCGATGCTGACCCCAACTGCAGGCAGCATCTTGGCTTGTTCCCATTGGAATGGGCTTTGGGAAGGTGCAAACCACCCCCAGGGCAGGGACAATGGTCCAGCTCTGGCCCACTGGTGTCAGCCCCAGCCGTGCTGCACATAAAGCAGCAGAGCTTCTGGCTAAGAGGATAGTTCTGGTGTATCATTTCCCCTTCATCCTCCTCCTTTTTGCCCCTCTTTTCCCCACGAAGGGGAAAACATTGGGGTTGCCCAACATTAAAGGTCCCTTCCAACCTCCGGAGTTGATCCTATGATTCCCAAATCTAGTTCTACTTTGACCTTATGTTTAAACCCTTCCATCTGCAGCAAGACTGCAAGCAGTCAGTCAGTTGACAGGAACCATTAACTGTAAAGAAATCCCTGTGCCCACGTTCAGATCCTTATCTGACCTTGCTCCCGACACTCACGTGTAGCTGGTGAAAGCGCTGGCGTCCGCATCCGTTTGGAGGACCTTGTCCCCGTGCGTCCACTCGTGGCCCTGGATGGGAAGATACTGCCCAGTCATGTTGCAGGCCAGGACCAGCTTCCCAGAAACACCGGTGACTTGAGCTCTGATGTCCGGACCTGCATGCGGAGACAATTCCATTGGAGTCAGCACACGGCATTCCAGGGGTGATGCGCCAAGACCCTGGGATGCAAACCCCCCCCAGCTCCTTCTCCTTGTCTCTATCCCAGCTTCCACTTACCTCTGTCAACAGTTTCCTACCAGAACTGACAATACCAGCAGTGGAGACACAATATCCAGGCACCGTGGGCCTGATGCACCTCGGGATAACCCATGGGAATCCCATAGCCTCTCCCACCCCGAGCGGGATCACTGCCTTGTGTCCTGGGGGATTCTGAGCCCCCACTGCCCCTACAACGGGTGCAGCTCCAGCAGAGCCCAATAAGCAATGGGAAAGGTGGTACTGGGAAGGGCAGGGTATGGCTCTGCTCTTTTGAGCCACCGCAGCACCCACTGCCCAGGACCTGAGCAGGTTTAGACCCCCCCCCCCCTCCAGGTAACATAACCAAGGAGCCCGTATGCAAACACCACGAGCATCATCTGATGCAGCCCAAGAGGTCACAGTTAGGACACACAGAACCATGACTCCAAAAGGGCCCGGGCCTCCACGTGCCAAGCAGCAGTAAATGACACATGAGATGAGTCAGGCTTGGGGGTGGCAGTCCAAGAGCAGAGCTGCCACAGCAGCACCTCTCCCATAGCCCTGCTGCACTCCGGCTCCTGCTCTTCCTCCTACCCAAACTCCCTCGCAGGAAGGTTCTGCTGGAGTTATGCATTCCCTGCCTGAACAGCCTGCTCTAACTCGAGCAGTCCCAATAGGACCTTAAAGGCACATCCACATCATTCCCAGGTTCCTCTAGCTCCAAGCAGCCACCCATCCATCAGCTTGGAGCAGAGGGAACGCGGTTGCTCCCACAGGACAAGCAACTCCCCCCTCTCCCACCCACCCCAACCCCAGGCAGCGGCGCACACAGACACGGCCGTTCAAAAACGGTTGCACCTCAGGACACCCCAAAAAAGAAGGCAGGATTTGCTCCCCGCTGCTTGTCTGGAGCAGCAAGGAAGCGAGCGGGAAGCACGGCGGGAGCAGCAGCTCTACGAGCCGGAGGGAAGGATTCTCAGTGGTGGTGGAAAAGGGCAGAGCCTCCCATAGAACGGAGACTCTCAACTCTACAACCAAGGCAGCACCAGCACTCGGAGGCACTCGGGAATAAGCGGTGGGGTTCCAGGTCTTTGGCTCCTCGGGATGGCCGCCGGGCGTTTTGGTTGGGAAGCCACAACCCTTTTTGAGCAGGGCCATTTCGGGTCACGTCACAGCGGTGAGGGAAGACGACAGAGGGTGGGAGCCTCTCGGTTCTACAGCGGGAGGGTGAGAAGGGGAAGCTTTCGGGAGCCACAGGACACGGGTGCAGGGGTGAGCATGGCAGGAGACTCAAGACACCGGTGTCCCAACAAGTGCCAAGGCCTCGGGGGGGCCACTCACGTTCGATGACAAACACGTTCGCCTGCGAACGGATCCACTTGACTTTGGGGCTCTTGGACAAGTGGTTGCGGTCGGGGTCATTGCTGGCCCGGCACTCGTACGTGCCCGAGTCGTTGCCGGTGAGGTTGGTGATGGAGATGGTGCTGGTGGAGTGCAGGTTGTAGGTGGCGTTGATCCTGACCCGGTCCTGCCGTGCTCCGTCCCAGAGCTGAGCATAGGTCTCATTGGGCTCGTTGCCCTCAAACCACCACTGGATCTCGGGGATGGGGGTGCCAATGGCCTCGCAGTACAGCTCCACGCTGTCCTGAGTCAGTCTCTTTTGAGACAGCGGTGACTTTATAAAGCCAGCTATGAGTTGAAGAGGTATTAGTGCAAAGTGTTAGTGCAAAAGCAAGAACCCACCCGCTACAAGCAACACGCATGGCTGCGACTCTTCCCTCCCTGCTGAGCTCTGCCCAGCTCAGATAGGGTTTAAGTGTTGCATCTCAGGCTGCAAACCCAGGGCGTACAAACCAGGATGTGGAATTTGCCACCATCCAGATGAGGACACCCCCCCCAGCCCAGTCACACAAGGGGTCACACTGAAACATTCCCCACCATACAAACAGTGAAGCCATAGAATGGGTTGGGACCTTAAAGCTCATCCAGTTCCAACCCCTGCCACTGGAGCAGCTTGCTCCAAGCTCCATCCAACCTTGAACACTGCCAGGGATGGGGCAGCCACAGCTTCTCTGGGCACCCTGTGCCAGCACCTCAGCACCCTCCCAGGGAAGAACCTGTGCCTCACAGCACATCTAATCCCACCTTTTACCCCAGGCAAGGCAGCTCTGGGGAGCGGGATCAGCAATAATGAGATCAGAGGCGTGAGGAGCATCCGCAGGCTTCAGGACTGCAGCACTTTGCTCCCGCAGCCAAGAGGCCGGGTGGGGGGGGGTTAGGATCCAAAGGTAGGTGTGGGCCTGCACAAGGCCAAGCTGCTGAGTTCTTTGGGCTCCCAGCGCTGTGGTCACCAGGAGCAACCCGCTCCAACCGTGACACGGGGCTGGGAGAAGGGCAGGACCCAGGGGAGCCGGTCCCAGGCAGGCGGAAGGGAGGCTCAGGCACCAGCACTGCAGGAAAGAGCAGCATCCGTGGGTCAAGGGCACGGACGTGAGGAGCTCAGGGGTAAGAGGAACTCGGTGAGGTTGTGACATGGGCGCTGCCTACGCTTCAGATGTGCCCACACGGGTTTATGGGGCATCCCACACACGAACATCGCTTCCTGGGGATACCCAGCCCTGTGGTGTCCAGGCACAAAGGAGCTGGGTTTGGGAGTGAATTGGGGGCGTTGCGAATGCCTGAAGAGGTTTTCATGAGAAATCGGGCTTTCGACCCCAAGTTTGCTCAAACTCCAGGAAAACACAGGTCAGTCTGCAAGGCACATTCCAGAGCCCTCAGCAACTCAGTGCTGCAGCTCTCAGGGGAACAAATTAGCTTTACATAGCAAAGAACTGGAAGAATAAGCACACCTGGATGAGGAAGGAGAGACCTAACCCCATCTGCCACCGAGGCACTGATAGGGATCTCAAAGGGGAGGTGATGGAGCTCCAGAAGTCCTATGGGGGTATCAGCGTTTCTCATCTCCAAGCTGCAAATCCAGAAGCAGGGCCCTGTGCCCAGGCAGGCTGTTTTACAGCCCAGGTCTGTGATTAAACCCCCTCATTTTGAGTACTCAAAGAACCTTGTAATGCCCTGTCCTGGTTGCAAACAGGCTCTGGTAAAGATCAAGGCTTCGGGGTGGTTCTGTGCAGCTACAAGGTGATTATTGTTTGCTGACAAAATGAGCCGCTGCAAGGTTATTTGCTCCCAGTTAGAGGGCACTTAGTGCAGTTCAGACAAGCTCAAAAGCCTGGGCAAGCAGGAACAACAGCAAGTCCCGTTTGCATTCCCTTGGGATTAACATCCCCTTTGCTCCCAGCACAAAGCCGAGCGGGAACGGCAGGCTGGGAAAGGCAACAGCCTCCGGGCGCAGCCCACTATCGACCTGCTGGAATCGATCAGAGCGGCTCCATCCTTTCCCAAAGGGGGACGGGGATGGAATCAGCTCCCAAACCCCGGCCGTTCCACAAGGAGCCCCCTTCCTGCTGGGCGCTGCGCGGTGTCGGAGGAGCCGGACGGGACACAGGAGCAGATAACGCTGTCCCCAGTCACCTTCAGCCTAAAAACAACCTCCCCCCCCCGCCGGAGCAGAGGGAGGAGCCCCGCTGGTGTTCAGTGTCTCTGAGCCCTGCCCCAGGGTTCACTCTCTTGCCGGGCCTGACCTTTGCTTCTTGGCCTCAGAAGGGGACATTTGAGGCCCCGAAGCTTTTTCCCATTGCCGCTAATAGCTGTAAACCCCACTCTGGCACCAGCGGCCGTCCCAGCCCCAGCACAGGTCAGAGGCGAGTGCTTGCAGCCAGGGTTCCTCCTTCTGAGGGCAGGGAGTTCAATCCCAGCCTGGGTTGGGTAGGAAAGGACCTTATCCAGCTCCAATCCCTGCCACGGGCAGGGACACCTTCCATTAGACCAGGTTGCTCCAAGCCCCTGTATCCAACCTGGCCTTGAGCACTTCCTTATATCCAGCCTAAATCTCCCCTTCCCCACGCTTCCCTGCATGATGAGCTACCAACAGAGCAGCAATGCTGCCGTTCAAAAGGACCCGCTCCGTAAATCCAAACCGAAACCCCTCACTTCCCAGCCCCGCACACCGCTTTACTTGTGCCATCAGCATCATCGCACCCAAAAGCCCCGCAGCCAGGGCAGGACCCACGTTACACAACCAACGGGCCTGTAGGGCAGCAATTCCTTCCGAGGCTTTGCGAAGCAAGGATAGAAACACCTTTCCCATGGCAGCCCATTGGAGAAGGGGATGCTCCGGGCGGGGAGCAGCCGGAATGCACCGTTTTCGGTTGGTTTACCCCCAAAATGCGATGTTTAGGAGGAGGCAGCCCCCACCCTCCCGTTCTGCATCAACTTTGCCGCAAGGAAACCTTGGGGACGGGCACTTCTGTAGCTCGGGATCTTTCACCTCCAGCCTTTTTGAGGCTTGGCACCGAGACCACAAACAGGCTGCGCATTCCTTAGCGAGCAGGGAAGGAGCCACACGGAGCAGGCAGGACCAGCCCACAACGCGCAGTAAAAACCACCTCCGCACCGGCCCCTCCTGCACCGCGCCTGAATCAGCGGCCGCGGAGCCCTCGGGGCTCTGCGTGCCCAGGCGGCCGCTGGCCCCCGGCTCCTCTGAGGCGAGCGGCGGGGAAGCCAAGCGCCAGGGCAGCGCACGGAGCATCCCGGCTCGCTTTGGGATCAGAAGGACCCAACGAGGAGCTCCCCGCACCGCAGAGCGGGCCCCGCGGGGATTAGCGACTTACGGACCACGGGGCCAGCGTTAGGGCTTTAGGGCCCGGAAAGCCGCTACCGCTCCGTAAGCCCCGGAAACGGGAGAAACGGCTGCGAGGAGGAAATCCCCCCCCCCGTTTTCCCTCCGGGAAAGCACCGGGGCTGCCTCCATCGCCCTTCCGCTCAGGGGACCCAACCCTTGCGCATTGCGCGACCCGGGCCGCCCGCACGGAACCGGCCCCACCGGAGCCTGGAGACCTCCGATAGCGGAGGCAAAGAGGACACCGAGCCCGGGGGGGGGGTGCCGGTGCCGCCGCCTCAGCCCCGCCCGCCGTGCGACGTGCCGGCCCGCAGGGCTCCTCCGCCGCCGCTCCGCCCCCCCCCCCCGGTCCCGGTCCGTACTTGTCCCCGCGACGCCGGTGGCCAGCGCGGCCAGGAGGAAGAGGAGGAGCAGAGCCCGGAGGCCGCATGGTCCCGCTGCCGCCGCCGCCATCACTGCCCGCCCGCTCCGCGCCGCCCGCCGCCCGCTATAAGCCCCGCGCCGGGTCACGGAGGAAGGGGCGGGCCTTTGGGAGGACCCGGCAGCCAATCGGAAGTCAACTCGGGCAGCAGCCCCGCCCACCCGGCGCGGAGAGGCCAATCAGAGGAAAGAGCTTGTAAAAGCGCCCTCCTCCTCAAGCCAGTCTGCGCGTGGCCACGCCCACCATGAGGGAGCGCAGCCAATGGAGAGGCGCGGCGGGGGGGGGGGCCGGACGGTGGGCGGTGGGGACCAAGCGGCGGCAGCGTGCGAGGAACCGGAATGGCGGGGGGGGGGGGGGGGGCTCCGGTAAACGGCTCTGCCCCATGGCCCCGGTGCGGGGCAGCGCCTCCGGCCCCGGTTGTTCCCAGGAGCCGGCGCTGGGAGCCCGCGGGGAGCTCGCAGCCAAGGCAGGAAAGCCCCAAACAATGGGGCCGGCCTCGGCGCCAGCCCCCGCCGCGTTCCCCGCGGGGACCTCCGGGCTCTTGTGAGCTCCGGAACCCCCCTGGAGCGCTCCCTCCCACCGGGGGCCATGTCCGGCCTTGCCCCCCCCCCCCCCCCCCCCCATCCCCTTCCGTCGCCCTGCGGAACAAGTGCGAGGGGCAGGGGCTCCATGGACACAGCGCCCATGGAGGAGGAGGAGGCGGCTTTGGCCGCTGCTCCGTGCCAGCCCCGCTGACCTTGGAAGCCCGCACTCGAAGGCCAATAATCCCCTTCACCTTCCAGCCCCGTTCCCTAAGGCAACAAAGCACATGCATGGGCCACGTGCGGTTCCCAGCTCCCATTGACACGGCTCCAGGAAGGGGCGAGTTTCCATCATTACCCCGTCCAAGGAGCCTCAAAGAGCCCCAGGAGGGGAGGTTTCCAGGTGTCCATCCCTATGGAACACCCTTAGGTGCCCCGCGGCTGGAACGTGGTGGCTGGAGCTCACCCATCCCAACTCTGGCTTGGGCACCCATCAGTGCAGGAGGGAAAACACCTTCCCTATGGAGTGCTCAGGGTTGGGGGCGGCTCAGCAGAGCCCACAGCCCCAGGGCAGAGGCACAACACTGCTAAGAAGGGCAAGAGATGCTTCCCCAGGCAGCCCTGTGGGGTTGGGGAGGCAGGGAAGGGACCCCAATCCCTAGGAATACTTTATTAAATAGTCTCCAAAAAACCAGAAGCAGAAAGAGCCAGAACTGCCCCATCCCTCCCAGCAGGTTAAAAACCACACACACCCTGCAGTGCTCTGTGTCCCGGCCATTCCTGAGCTTCCCGTCATTCCCACTGCACTCTGGCACCACTGGAAGCAGCACCAGGAGGGTCCCTCCGGGATCCAACCATGCTCCAACCCCTCAAAGGCTGCACAAAGCCACCACTCACCGGCCCCACAGCACACACACCCCCCCCCAACCCTTCCTCCTACGTGGGGCTGAAGAGCCCAATGTGCCCCAAACAGCAGGCAGGCAACAGCAGGTTTTGCCATCACGCCCCAAACCAGTCCTGTGGCTTCAGGAAGGCCCCGAAGCCACTTCCCCCTCCCCATCCACCCCCTAACCAAGCACATTTATAAAATAGGGTTTGTTCCTTGCTTTTTCTACCAAGCCAGCACTGGGAGCTCCTTGGCCGCAGCAGAACAGTCTCCCTGTGAGGTAGAGAGTCAATTCCAGGGCTGACAGAGCCTAAATTCAAACCCGTTTGTCCTAAGTTGAGGTAAAACGCAGTAGTTTATAGGAAGGGTTGCAATGCCAGAGGGCCCATCAAGATTCCTCATTGCCAGAGTCATCCTCATCCCCGTAACAGCTCTCTGCCTCTTCCTCCATCTCATCATCCTCGTAATAGTCATCATAGAAGAGGTCAGAGCCCTCATCAGGCGCTGGAGTCTTGGTCTTCACGCAGTACTCAGCCAGCGTGGTGGGGACCTTCACACCATCCCGCTCAGCATCCACCTTTGTGCCCAAGACTTGCTTCCTGGAGGTGAGAAGCAGGAGGTAAGGACAGAGCCCTGCGTGTGGCACCATGTCAAGGCTGCCCAGCCTGCAGCACCTTGTGTGCCAGGCCCATGCTGCCAAAGCCACGCTGGCACCGTGGCTGCTCTGAGCCCAGATTCTCAGCTCTGGAGCCAAAAAGGAGCAGGACTTAGCCTGAGAGCAAAGCTGAGCACAGAACCTAACAAGCTCCGCTTTAAAAGCCCCGCTCTGAGCCAGAATCCTTCCCTCCTACCAGCACGCAGATGGGACTCAAGAGGGGAGGTCAGAATCGTAGCATCAAAGGATGGTCTGGGTTGGAAGGGACCTTAAAGCTCCTCCAGCTCCAACCCCTGCCACGGGCAGGGACCCCTTCCACTGGAGCAGCTTGCTCCAAGCCCCTGTGTCCAACCTGGCCTTGAACACTGCCAGGGATGGGGCAGCCACAGCTTCTCTGGGCACCCTGTGCCAGCGCCTCAGCACCCTCCCAGGGAAGAGCTTCTGCCTAAGAGCTCATCTCAGTCTCCCCTCGGGCAGGTTCAAGCCATCCCCCTTGGCCTGTCCCTACAGGCCCTTGTCCCAGACCCCTCTCCAGGTTTTCTGTGGCCCCTTTAGGCACTGGAGCTGCTCTAAATTCTCCCCAGAGCCTTCTCCAGGCTGTTCCCTTAGGATCCTGTGTCCTGCTTAAGCGTTTCCTGGTGCCACAGCAATGCCAGGCCTCGCTCAGCCCATCACTCACCTGATGATGTCCGTGTACTCCCGGTCCTTCCCTTTGCTCTCCTTCCACTTGCGGTACATCACGGAGGCGTCCACGTTGGCTGGAGAGAACGTGTTGGGTTCATTCAGCAGCGAGATCACGCTCAGCAGAATGGTCCTGGCCATCGATAAGAGCAGGTAAGAGCCAAGGCAGTCATTCCAGCAGCCTCCAAGCCCCATGGAGCAGGACAGAGCATCCCAGAGAAGCCAAGCCCAGGCTGCCAGGCTCAAGCTCTCACTGTTCTTCAGTGCATCACACATCCCAAGTGCCTTTCAATGACCCCAACGCACCTCCTGCAGGCTCTGGGAGCAGAAGCAGCCCCCATGGCCCCACATTCCCAACCCTGGGATGAGGCTCAGCCTTTACCTCACGTTCTGTGTGGGGTTCCACCGCTCCGACGGCAGCTCCCCGCTCTGTGGGTCGTCCACCGGTGGGTGCAGGATGGAGATACAGACATCACCGGTCTGAAAGCACAATGGAACAGGACCAGAGAATGGGTTGGGTTGGAAGGGACCTTAAAGCTCCTCCAGCTCCAACCCCTGCCATTGGGACCCCTTCCACTGGAGCAGCTTGCTCCAAGCCCCTGTGTCCAACCTGGCCTTGAGCACCGCCAGGGATGGGGCAGCACAAGAGGTGGTCCCACTACCTCAGGCTTTGGCTAAGGCCCCCCACAGCCCCAGTGAGGCCCCAGGGCCACGTACTCAGTGTCCTCACAGCCTTCAAGCCTGGCTGACCTGGAAGCAGGACAGGAGAGCGGCTGGCGTCAGCTCATTAACTGCCTTTCCAGTGCCAAAGGCACCGAGTTCCAATGCCAAAGGCTGGTGTTGTCATCCACAATACCATGGGCATGTGTGTGTGTCGTCCCCCCCCCTTACACCCATCTAACAGGCTCTGCACTGTCCCAGGGACCTACCTCATAGATATTGGGGTGCCACATTTTGGTTAAGAACCTAAAGGCAGGAGGAGAATAGGGGTAGTCAATGGGAAACCGGAGGCGAGCCTGCAAGGAAACAATAAGGAGAAGTGAGGAGGGAGGGAAGGAAACCACAGAGAAAGGAACCTTTGCCAAGTCCTGCTGTGCTCCTGCAGGATGAGGGATCCCCATCCTGCTGTCAGGGAATGGGTTGGTTGAGAAGGGACCTTAAAGCTCCTCCAGTCCCAACCCCTTCCGCTGGAGCAGCGTGCTCCAAGCCCCTGTGTCCAACCTGGCCTTGAACACTGCCAGGGATGGGGCAGCCACAGCTTCCCTGCGCTGTTTCCCCCCGCTATGGAGCTCCCAGGGAAGGAAGCATCAGGTGCTCAGCACTCTGCCAGCACCCCGAGGCTCTAAAAATAGCCTGAAAGAAGAGCGAGGCCGAGTGCAGACCGGGCACAGCACGTAACTCAGGTGCTAAAAATAACAGCACATGAGGATCATGCTGCAGAGCACGGCTCCAGCACCCACAGAGACAACCTGAGCTGGTCCAGAGACACAGATCAACAGCCCCCATGGACCAGGTGCAACTGCTCCCCATGTCCTGCACAAGCCACAGGGGTCTCTTTCGGGTGCTTTTGGAAGGCAACGTTGAGATTCAGGAGCCAGGGGCAAACAGGGAGCACCAAAGAACTCCTTGAGCATCTCCTTGTGTACAGGAGGATCCACACATTGGAGCGGGGAAGCAACAGTTGGAAGCAGCCCTGCTCTGCGCAGCAGCGAGTGATGGTGACCCGGGATTGTTCGTTACCCGTTTGGGATAGGAACTGCAAAAGAGGCTTTGGATGCTTCTGGAATCACGGCCTCAACAATAGGTGACGCTGCCAAAGCTGGTTGCCAGCCAACAGCCATGAAAAGATCAGTGTAGAGGACAGAGAATCCACCCTCCTCCTCCTCGCTGCCCTGACCGAGGAGTCCATCCCGGATCCCGCTTCCAGCCCTGGCACAAGCTGATCACATCCAGAGCCCAAAAAGGCCCTGATGGCAGCTCTGTCCCTGCTCCGTGGCACAGGCCAAGGGGTGCAAGGGAGGAGAACCACAGCACTGGATGTGTTGTGTGTGTGTGTGCGTGTGGAGCTCGGGGCAGAGCACCCACAGCACCACTGAACTCCATAGCATCATCCCCCCCTTTTTTGTGTTAGAGGGAGCAGAACAAAACCAGCCTGAGGTAAAGCAACCCCATAGGGGCTTGGAAAGACCCCCCCCTGAGTTGCTACACACAAACAGGGTGATGTTCCCAGCGGCTGGAAGAGGACTCAGCCCCTTTGCTCTCCTCTGAAGCAGGAAGCTCCATCCAGTGCCACCCAAGAGTGCC